GGAGCGCCGAGGTCATCGAGCGCCGCCCTTCCCCGCCCGCTGCCCTGCCCTGCCGGGCTGCTCCTACCCTGGGGCTGGAGGTGTTCTGACCAGAATTTAACCCGGGAGGGACCCAAACTGTTAATGAATCTCCGGGTTCACCAGACTGAATAGAAGGAGCCCGCAGATGGTGTCCAAACTCCGAGTTTCATGCTTGTTGAAGTGTTAGCATGAAATCATGCAGCAAGAGGAGGTAGCTGCACGGCAATGTTCCAGACGGAGGGCTGGGTCTGGATTTGTCTAGAAGATTCCAACCCTAACTCGGTGTGACTTTAGCAAGTTCATAACCCTATGTCTCAATTTCCTCCTCCCTCAAATAGGGGTGGTAATGGTACCTACCTCAGGTCAAAGTGAAGTAAGAAAAAAGGTTGCCCTAGCTGGTTTTGCTCAGTGGATAGAGCATCGGCCTGCGGACCCAAGGGTCCCGAGTTGGATTCACATCAAGGTCAAGGTCACATGCCCGGGTTGTGGGCTCCATCCCCAGTAGGGGGCATGCAGAAGGCATCCGATCAACGATTCCCTCTCATTGTTGATGTTTCTATCCCCTCTCTTTTCCTCTCAGAAACCAATAAAAATGTTCAAAAAGAAAAGAAAAGGTGTGAGGCCCAAGGTTCTCAAGGTCTAACTGTACATAACAATGGCCTGAAGATATTCCTGATTAAACTGCTGATTTCTGGGTCACGCCCTTGATTCAGTAGATTTAGGTAGTTCCCAAAGATCTGCATTCTTTTAGTCCCCAGGTGTTCAAGGGTGGGGTCTTGGTTGGGACTTGGCAGTAAATCCTTAATGAAAGTCAATTCTTAACTATTAATATGTTGCTCCCCTCTTTTACATTTTATTGATTTTTAGAGAGGAAAGGAGAGGGAGATATAGAAACACCAATGATGAGAGAATCATCCATCAGCTGCCTCCTGCACACCTGCACGCCACCCACTTCCCCTCCCCTCCTCTCACCCCCTCACTGGGATGGAGCCTGCAATCCGGGCATGTGCCCTTGACGGGAATCGAACGGGACCCTTCTCCCCTCCCCTCCCCTCCCCCCCTCACTGGGATGGAGCCTGCAATCCGGGCATGTGCCCTTGACGGGAATCGAACCTGGGACCCTTCAGTCTGCAGGCTGATGCTCTGTTCACTAAGCCAAATCAGCTAAGGCTGTTGCTCCCCTCTTCATCTGGGCATGTGCCCTTGACGGGAATCGAACCTGGGACCCTTCAGTCTGCAGGCTGATGCTCTATTCACTAAGCCAAATCAGCTAAGGCTGTTGCTCCCCTCTTCATAGGCCTCTGAGCACTCTCCACAGCACACAGGATTAATATTCACTTTAACTTTTTTATTATTATTATTGATTTGATTTTAGAGAGTGAGAGAGAAAACAGATTTGTTGTTCCATTAATGCATTCATTGGTTGATTCTTATATGTGCCCTGCTGGGGGTCAAACCCATAAGCTTGGCATACAGGACCCACGCTCTAACCAACTAAGCTACCCAGCCAGGGCTGATTCACTTTAAATCAGGCACCTTAGGGGCCAGCAGCAACAGGTCCTTGCCCGCTGGCTCTGGCCTCATAGTTCCAGGCATCAGGCTTGAGCCTCCACTTAACATACACACAGTGCAACTGTCAGCTACACCTACACGCAAGCATGTCAAACTCGCATGCCTTGCTTAGTTCTGGGCTGTTTTGCTCTTCTCTGTTATCTGTACCCAGCAAAGTGTCTGCCACGCCAAGCATTGAATACATAACATGTTTCTTAAATGAAAACAAAAAAAAGAAGGAAGAGAGGGAAGGAGGCATACAAGTACTTATGAGCCAAGCTATGGACTCCTCGGGTGCTGCTGCAGCCCTTAAACTTGTACAATGAGGGAGCCTGCACATAACCACCCTTATTTCCTGCCTTACCTCCATTAAAGTCTGTCAGGGTCTCTGACTTTTCTGTTTCTTTGAAAGTCTATATTGTTCCCTTGTTTCTTTTTGTTAATCCTCACCCGAGGATACTTTTTCCATTGATTTTCAGAGAAAGTGGAAAGATGGAGAAGAGACCGAGAGAAATATCAGTGTGAGAGAGACACATCCACTGGCTGGTTGCCTCCCGAACATGCCCTTGACTGAACTGAACCCGAGACCCTTCAGTCGGTGGACCACTGTTCTAACAACTGAGCCAGACTGGTTAGGGCTATTGCTCCCTTTTTTTGTTATTGTTTAGAACATTAATTCAGTTTTTCAAGTGTGAGAAATGACTCAACTAAAATCACATCTTTTTATAAAATCTTTCCCTCTACTGTCCCCCCAGGGAGAATAAATTCTTCCACCTCTATCTGAGGTAGCTCTTTGTACATCTGTTGAAAGGAGTATCTCATTAATTTGCTATTGTTTGGCTACACACCTCAACTGTGGCTGAGTTGAAGATGAGCCTGAGGGGAATTAGTTCCAGCCACAGTCTCAATCAGTGCCCCTCCCTGTTCTTTGGTATTTTCTGAATCTGATGTGAAGTACTAAGAAATTGCAGTCAAGACAAATCCCCTTACCCACCCAGACCATTCATGCACTCTTTCAACCAGATTGCTACTCCCAAATTTCACTTTTAGAGAAATTCTGGAACAACCACTATGGACATGCTTGACTGAACAAGAAATTGATAGTATCTGGCTCAGCTGGCATGGCTCAGTGGTGGAGCGTCGACCTATGAACCTGGAGGTCACAGTTCAATTTTCAGTCAAGGCACAGGCTGAGGTTTCGAACTCGATCCCCAGTGGGCATTGTGTAGGAGGCAGCAGATCAATGATTTTCTCTCATCATTGATGTTTCTTTTCTATCTCTCTCCATCCCCCTTCTTTGAAATCAATATTTTAAAATCAATGTATTTTAAAAATATAATAAATTGATAGTATCTGGCCTCAAATATGTTTTGAATTAATTTGTTCATGTATTCATCTATCTTTTCATGTAGTTGTTCAACTAATACACAATTTCAATCTTTTTTGCCTTTCAAATCTTTTACTTCTTTTTCTCCTCAGAACATCTTCAGAAGTAAAAGACTTACACTCACAATCCAATACTGCTTTCTAACTTCCCCATTCTTGTCGTTTACCACATATCAAATATCACACAGCAAATATCAAGTCTATAACCTTTTGCCTCTAAATGACTACTTTCTCCTACTTGCCCTGAGTGGTCCTAATGATTCTTCCTATCTAATAATTCCTGGATCTGTCTACCCAGTATCTACATAGAATCCCAATTTATACCCTAAATGTAGCATTTCAGGATTATAACATTGTTCTTTTTAAAACTACTTTTTATTGAGTGCCAGATGCTTTATATACATTATCTCCTTTACTCCTTACAGTGGTTTAAGGTGAAAAATTACTTTTCCAAGATTTACAAATAAGCATGAGAATCTTAAAGAGTAGAGAACTTTAATGTAGTCATGTGGAATTCCAAAACTAATCTATTTAAGCTACATTTATGTATCACCATTTAACGAGCTCTACTCTGCATAAAGCAGCATGGTGGTATAGTTTTTATGGTAGATCTACTCTTGAACATTGCAAGAAAATTCAATATAAAGAGTCCAATGGAGCCCTAGCCGGTTTGGCTCAGTGGATAGGGCATTGGACTGCGGACTGAAGGGTCCCGAATTCAATTTCAGTCAAGGACACATTGCCCGGGTTGTGGGTTCGATCCCCAGTAGGGAGCATGCAGGAGGCAGCCGATCGATGATTCTCTCTCATCACTGATGTTTCTATCTCTCTCTCTCTGTTTCCCTTCCTCTATGAAAAATCAATAAAAATACACTTAAAAAAAAAAAGAGTCCAATGGAGCCCAGCTGGCGTAGCTCAGTGGTGGAGTGCCGACCTATGAACCAGAAGGTCACAATTTTGATTCCTGGTCAAGGCATATGCTCGGGTTGTGGGCTTAATCCCCAGTGTGGGGCATACAGGAGGCAGTCAACCAATGATTCTTTCTTGTCATTGATATTTCTCTCTCTCTCTCTTCCTTCCTCTCTGAAATCAATAAAAAAAAGTATATATATAGAAAGAGTCCAATGGAAGCGCACTACTTAAAGAAATCCTATAGTTATTCATTCAATAAAATATAGTATCCATCTGTAATCCAAATTACTAATGTTAATGTAATGAACCCAGCTTTGAAGTCAGATAGATGAGAAGTCAAATACTGATTCTGCCACTGTGAAACTTGAGATCTTTCAGAAAAATACTTAGCTTCACCATGTCGTCATCAGTAAAATGAGAAGTAATACACCAACATCAAAATTCAATAAATGGCAATTAGCACTGGCCTGTTTTGCTCAGTGGTTAGAGCATTGGCCCATGGACTGAAGGGTGTTGGGTTCGATTCTGGTCAGGGCACGTGCTTTGTTTGCAGGCTCTATCCCGGATAGAGCGTCGGCCTGCGGACTGAAGGGTCCCAGGTTCGATTCCCGTCAAGGGCATGTACCTGGGTTGCGGACACATCCCCAGTAGGAGGCATGCAGGAAGCAGCTGAATTGATGTTTCTCTCTTATTGATGTTTCTAACTCTCTATCCCTCTCCCTCTCCCTTCCTCTCTAAAAAAAAAAAAAAAATCAATAAAATATTTTAATAAAAATCGATGGAAAAAATATCCTCACTCCTCAGGTGAGGATTAAAAAATGTATGTTAAATTTTTAAAAACAATTTTTAAATGCCTGCATAAAAATATAGCCAATCAGCAATAATTTAATATTACATTTCTCTCTTTTTTTTACAGAGAGAGAGGAAGGGAGAGGGAAAAAGAGAAACATCGATGTGAGAGGAACACGCTCAAGCCTCCTGCGCGCCCCCTACCAGGGATTGATACCACAACCTACGAATTGAACCAGGACGATGCCCAACCAACTGAACCACACAAGGGCAATATTATATTTCTGAAAGTTTGGTTCCTGTATCATTGCATCACATTGATTCACAAGGGACCTTTATATGCAAATATCTGGGCCATACCTGTCAGATCTACTGAACCAGAAGTTCCAGGGCAAGCCCAGCAATCTGAAATTTTAGTATGCACCCTGAGTGAGTCTTTTCAGTTCCAAAGTTTGAGATTCCTACTGTGTTCAAGGTACAAATTTTCTTTAACATTGAAGGATAGCTCTTAACTATTATTTTTATTTGTAATTGGAATACAAATATCAATTTTTGAAAGAACCCACTATGTATAGGAGAAATCCTTTGTTTACATCTCAAAACATGGAGAGAAAACAAAATATTTTAGAAGCTCAGGAACTAGAAACACAATTTCTTTTTCTTTTTCTTTTTTCTTATAACTGCAGGGGGCAGAGAGGGGAGGGGGAGGAGTTGTGGGAGGAAGGGAAAAAGGGAAGGCAGGGGTGTCCTGCTAGGAGGGTGTGCACCTAGAAACATAATTTAAACTGACAGCCTTGAGGAGCCAAAAGGGAAAATGACTCATTATTATGCTTAAGGACTTTGTGGAAAATGAATGTAATCACAAATTTAGAAAATTAGTCCAGTTTGAATTCATCACCATGCCTACTCATGGGCAGGATTAAATGTCCTATTTTTCTTGATCATTCCCCAGTAGGGGGCGTGCAGGGGGCAGCTGATCAATGATTCTCTCTCATCATTGATGTTTCTATCTCTCTCTCTCTCTGCCAGGGTTCTTGTCCCAGCATCAAGAAAGGTTCGGGAATCTGGAGAAGGGGCTGTGCATAGATGACATAGGAATCCAGAGACTAATGAAGAGTCCAGAGATGAGATATAATTTTGTAAGTCATTGGGAGTCAGAGGACCTTCAGCTAAAGGAACTGAAGACTCCCTCCTTGTCTAGAATCCTTGCTTTTATTAACACAATTTGTCCTAAGGCAAGGTAGAGATAATACACTTCAAAGGGTAAGGTTTCAAAGGGTACAGAGTCCATTGTCAGAATGGGGGAATTAGCCTACGGCTGTTCAGGTGTTTGGCCCGTAGGAGGCAATAACATGTAGATTAAGATGCCTTTTAGCTGTCTGGCAGCAAGCAATAGTCCCTTTTCAGGTTTTGGGAAACAGGTGATAAATGTGTGATTCAACCCTGTTGACTCCCCAACTCTCATCAACCTTTTGATGAAACTCTTGAAATTATGACATGCTGGAATTGGTCTTCAGCATCTCTCCCTCTTCCTTACTCTTTGAAATAAATAAAAATATATTTTAAAATAAAAAATAAATAAAAATATAGAAGCCTTTCAGAGTGAGAATCAAGCAAGCATTTATTCAGGAATCATTAATTCAGGCAGAAGCCCATATAATGTTCCCTTAGGAGACAGAGGCAAAGGGTATTTATGAGAAAGGGAAGGGGAACAATTACATCAATAGAAGAAAGGCATTTCTACTGGAGCAGCTGACATAATATAGTGACACTAATTCTAAAAGATATTTTTAATTTTCAGTCTGGTAGTCATCTGTCCAGTTGTCATAACTGCTTTCTTGTTATCTTTGCAAACAGTTCTTTGAATCGCAATGTTGCCGTAGGCCCAGCACAAAGGTTATTTTGCCCTGCTTTAACATTTGAGACAAAGGACATGCAGGGCAATTCCTCTGGCAACTCCACTTTATTTTATTCTATTTTTTAATCTTTATTGTTGAAAGTATTACCTATGTCCCCATTTCTTCCCCATTGACCCCTTCTAGCCTGTACCCGTACTCTTGGCAGCTACATTTGAAAGCTCCATTTATATTATTTTGACAAGACTTTTGTTCAGTGTAGAATTTGTAAAAAAAAAAAAAGAAGAAGAAGAAGAAGAAGATTAGAAACAATTAATGAGGACATGTTAAATAGATTATGGTACATCTATACTGAATAATACTATGCAGCTATCTATGTAATAATATGTAGTGATATTCAAAATATATTTAATGAGGAGGGAAAGTTTTACTAAAAGGAACCAGACTTGCTTAGAGAAATTACTAATTCGAGGATTGGGGCTGAGAAAGTATAAGAAAAGCCTATAATATATTTTTGTTCCAGAGAGCAAACAAGTGCTTAAAAATGATGGGAACACATTAAAAGGACTCAGGAGCCAGTTTGGAGGGCTTTCACTGACTGAATCTGGAAGATTGGATTATAAATCATTGAGTAAAAGAAAACCCATGAACCTGTATTGGTACTAAGCATATAAATGAGTAAAAGAAAAGAGTTAGGAAATCACCATTTTGCAATCATGATAGTAATAATTGATTCAAGAAATCAGTAGGTGCTAAGTCAGTAGGTGGAAAAACCACTGAACAAAAGTCTGATAGGGAGCACAGTCTCAAAATATATTATCTCCCCTTAAGATACTTATTAAACAAGAAGAGATAAATGATAACTTTACAGTGGAAACATCTATGAAAATCCCCCAAACTGGTACTGTTAAGCCCAGATTTCAGCATCCCCAAAAGACCACCAGGGAGCGCCAAGTCTGATGCAAAAGCAGATAGAGTCTTTATTCGGGCTAGCTCCAGCTCCCTGACCACACCCGTCGATGAAGCGGCAGGGGCCAGAGAGAGTTACCTCTGTGGGAAGAGGGGTTTTATAGGGGGGTTGGAGTAAGGAGAGGAGAGAGGACTGTGGGCCCTGCCGATTGGCCAGGTGCAAGTCGGGGTCTTGTTACACAGGATGTGGTTGTGTCTATGACGCGCGCTTCCCTTGATTGTCATTGGTTAGTTTAAAGAGCAGAGGCTTGGGCTTCCGGGAAGAAGCTCCTTGCCGAGCACATTGCTAATGGCTGCTGCCCAAACATGGAGGATCCAGGGCAAGATGGACGGCATAGCCCTCGCCCTCTCATTATCACTGAGATTCTGGGATGTGATTCACTGGGGAAACAATATCACTTCTATGGTGTGCTGGCCAAAATTCAGAACCTGAATCTATCCATGGGGAAAGAATCAGAAAAATCCATATTGAAGGATGCTTTATAAAAAAGAAAAAAAAGCCCTAACTGGTTTGGCTCAGTGGATAGAGCGTTGGCCTGCGGACTCAAGGGTCCCAGGTTCGATTCCGGTCAAGGGCATGTACCTTGGTTGCGGACACATCCCCAGTTAGGGGGTGTGCAGGAGGCAG